CCCCATCACTCCATGTATCCCCCTCCTCGCTTTAATTGCTGGGCAGCCTGCCGGCTGCGGTGGGGCCTGAGTATCCAGGGTTGCCAGAGGGGCTCTTGTTCACTCCGGAACAACTTGCCTGCCCCCTAGTGGATTACTGAAAGAGTCTCTCGGGCCGCAGAAACCTGCGCCGCTCCTGATAGGGAGACTGGGGCCTCCAGCAAGAGGGACTTGTGCAAGGAAGTCCACGTCAGAGCGTACATGGGAGGTGGCATGGCCAGCCCTTGAGAAGGGGCCGGGCTTGGGTGTCCCACAGCTCCGTGAACGCAGCAGCCCATTTGACTAGTCAGTCTCCTCTCAGAGCCTTGGGTCCTCACCGCTCAACGGAAGTGCACACAGCAGGCACTCAGCACATGTGTGGTGTTTCCCTCCTGCTCCATGTCACTTCACCTCCCTCTCTGTAAGAGTGTAGACTCCACTCTGTCTTTTGAGCAAATCTGGATTTTCATGCATGTGGATTTCCTTAAAGGGAGGTTCACCTGCCACCACGGTAGCCTCCTTCACCTCCCCTGCTCCAACATATTCCTTACCCACTGAACTTTTCTGGTCAGACACTGGGGTCACACAAACAGGGTTCATACCCAACTTTGCCCTCCAGAAGCCCCTATTCTGCAGGGAGAGGCTGACACAAGACCATACCTAGAGTGTAGTCTGTGCTGGACAGGGTTGCCAGGGCAGAGGAGCCAGAGTAGGTGCCAATCCCACAGCAAGTTGGGGTGAGAGGGAGAGTGTCAGGGAAGGCTTCCTGGAGGAAGTGGCAGAGGATCAGAGATTTGGAGAGGAAGGTGTTAGCCAGAAGGGGTTGGAATCAGGGGGCTGGGAAAGAGCCTCCAGGCTGGGGCAGGGCTTGGAGGTGAGGGCGTCCATTGCAGCACGAGGGCAGTGGTGAGGGTAGGCAGGGCTGTGAGGGGAGCCACAAGCTTCAGCTTCACCTGCCTGTGCCTGGTGTGCCGGGATCCCAGCTAAGCATCAGACCAACCAAGCCCAGATGCAGAGAACAGCAGAGGAGAAACCAGGCAGGTGACCTCAGGAGCTGGGATTGCAAGAGGAGAGATTATTAGATGCCTTTGGGCTAGTTAGTTCCTTACTTTGTTCATTCATCAATTCAGCTTTCTAGCACATGCCTCTTCCTGGGCACTGGACTAAAAGAAGGAACTAGATAAGGTCCCTGCTGTCAAGTGAGGGTCAGGCGTGGCAACTACTGACTCCATACCGAGGAAGATTGGGAAAAGGCTTCAGGAGGAGATGGCATTTTAGGTGGATGTTAAAGGATGTAGAGGCATTCACCAGGTGTTAAAAACGGGACAAGGTCATGTAGGTAGAGAAAACAGCAAGAGCAAAGATGTGGCATCATGAGGGGTTTGCAGAAGATGGAGTGTGTCATGGCCAGAGCTGGTTGTGTAAGGCGCAGATGAGATGAGGTCAGCCTGTGGAAGGCCTTAAATGCCAGGCTAAAGTATTTGGAATCCATCCCAAATTGTGCCCACCTGAAGAACCAGGGACCAAGCAATTCCAGATCACCCAGCCCTGCAAGGACCTTCTGGAAACCCATGGCTCCATCCGCTGAAGCGAGAACCCAACCTTTCTAGAAATGCCAGAATGTCCCATTGCTGGGAATGTACTCCAAGGGACCGGTGAATGGTCACAGGCTGCTGGAGGGAAGGCAGGCGGCCTTCATGGGCATCAGCTGGCGTTGACTCATCATGAAAGCCATGCCTTGGAGCTCCATCTCTGGGGTCCCATCTGAGCATGTACATGGATGCCCATGTGAATGTTGGACTGGCTCCTCCCGCGGGCTTCCTCAGCCTCAGCTGGAAGATGCTGTCCTCACCACTGTTCTGCAGAAGAGGAAGTTGTCTGCTCACTGAGGCTGTCTCCCCAGAACCCTCCAGGGACCACTGCTGTTTTTTCTGGGATTTTGTAGCCCTGTGTCACCATCTCATATCAGGAGATAGATGGGCTGACATATACAAGGACTTTATCCCTCCAGTTCCTCATCTGTAAAGTGGGCAAATAACTCTTATCTTAGAGGGTGGACAGGGTTGAGGCAATGTGCCTGAAGCTCCTGGCACACACCTGGCCTATAGCAGGTGGCAGGTAAATGGGAATAAATGAGACCTAAAGCCTCCTAGATTGGAGGAAATGGTCAGCCCTGGACTGGGGCACAATGCAGGATCCAGGTGGGCCTGGGCCTGCTCCCTTTGTCCCTGGCTGATGAAGAAAGGTTGGAGAGAGGTGAGAACCTGGTGTGTGTGTGTGAAATATGGTTTGGCTATGTCCCCACCCAAATCTCATCGCAAATTGTAACCCTCATGTGTCAAGGGAGGGACCTGGTGGGAGGTGATTGGATCATGGGGGTGATTTCCCCAGGCTGGTCTTGTGGTAGTGAGTAAGTTCTCATGAGATCTGGTTGTTTGATAAGTGTTCGGCGCTTGCCCCTTCTCTCACTCTCTTTCCCCCTCTCGCTCTCTCAACACCTTGTTAGAGTTGCCTTACTTCCCCTTTGCCTTCTGCCATGATTGTAAGTTTCCTGAGGCCTCCCCAGGCATGCGGAACTGTGAATTAATTACACCTCTTTTGTTTGTAAATCACCAGTCTCAGGTAGTATCTTTATAGCAGTGTGAAGATGGACCAATGCAGGGAGTCTAATTACATGAAGCATGTCAGGTTTGGAGCCAGAGTTTCCTCCTAGAGTCCTTAGGAGCCTCTAAGAACAGAGCTGACTCAGCCCCTCTCAGCAAGGGCAGCTCAGGAAACGGGCAGAGGGGCAAGAGCTGCTCCCACCATACAACCTTCCAGAGGCCCGGGAGCATGAAGACCCATGGTTGAGTTCAGACACACCCTGACAAACAGCACACATGCACACAACAGGTACTTGGACACACATCACACATATGGGCACACAGAGCATGAGCACAGATACATGTGCCACTGCCCCAAATTTTGGTGCTCAGACAGACATGCTCAGACATAACACACAGTAAAGCCACGTACATGCAGACACATCAAGGCCGTAAATGCGCAGAAACACACAGACACATCAATGCACACATACACAGACAACATGCACAATCGTCCACAGACAAGCATATACATGCAGACACAGACACAGGGACAACCCACACACGTCCACAGGCACAGGCACAGGCTCACTGTCACTTGCCTGCAAAGGGCCCTTTGAGCTCCTGCATCCACTTAAATATACACAAGGTCACACAGGTCTGTTCACCTACCCCGCCCCACAAGTCACATCTATACCACACTTCTCAGTTGAGTGTGTGTTCACCTGCGCAGCCTCCTGGATCTAACAGCAGCCCCATGAGGCAGTTAGGGCAGGGGCCTGGGCCATCCCGTGCAGTGAGGAGCAGAAGGCCTAGAGGTGCCAACCGACCAGCCTGGGTCGCATGGCTCCCGGCAGGTGTCTCAGTCAGCTGGGGCTGCTGCAGCTGAATAACACAGATTGGAGGGCTTCAACAATGGATATTTACTTCTCACCGCTTTGGAGCTTGGAAGTCCTAGATCAAGGTGCCGTCAGGGCCTGGCGCTGGTGAGGCCTGTCTTCCAGGTTCACGGATGGCCTCTTGTTGTCCCTTGGTGGAAAGAGCTAGCTCGCTGGCCTCTTCTCGCAAGGGCACTAATCCCATTTGTGAGGGCTCCAGCCTTATGATCTGATCACCTCCCAAAGGTCCCACATTCTGACACTATCACTTTGGGAGCGGGGTTTCGACATAGGAATTTGGGTGGAGAACACAGCTCTTCAGTACACAGCAGTAGGAAAGAGGAGTCCTGGTTGGAACTGTGGTCCCCTCCTACCTGGTGGCAGCGCCGGGGCACTAACCCATGTGTGTGCTCATGGATGCTCACAGAAGACACACAGCTGTGCGCCCACAGGGGCTTCAGGAGTCACTAGACCACACACTCATTTTACAGATGAAGAAACTGGAGCCCTGAGAGAAAACCCACAGGCCTAAAGGGAGCCACCCACAGGGCCTGTGGAGGAATGGGCCACACCTCTGACCCTGTCCCGCACCCCTCCCCACAGCTGTACCACATGCACAGATACGATCACACACAGCCACAGGCACATTCCACAGACACACGCATCCAGATCCTCCCTACTCAACACTGTTGCAGGCTTGGAGGGGCACATGTGGTGTTTCCACTGTCCTCTCGTTTAACTCTATGATGATATGGGACGTAAGAGTAACTGGCTCCGTTTTGCATTTGAGGAAACTGAGTCATAGAAGGGTTAGGCCCAAAGGTGCACAGGTAGGGACAGGCAGCGGCATCTCCCAAAGCCAGTTCTACACACATCATCACATCCTTACATACCTCTTCTCTCTCTCTCTCTCTCTCTCACACACACACACACACACACACACACACACACACACACAGGCACCTGGGCCTCTGTGGGCACAGCAGTCCCCAGGCAGAACATTTTTCCTACAACCACCACTTCAAAGTTTTTGTGCCAGCTCCCCACTCCTAAGGGGTCTTTTGAGAAGGGATGAGTTTGTTTGGGGATTAACTTGCCCACTTGCCCCTGCCCCTCTCCCTTCAGTTGGGGAAATGAGTTCCATGTGTGCCTGATCTTGCCTGCTCTGAAATCACCCTTGGGGATTTGGTGAGCACTCTTTGATGTTGGAAGCCATTTAATAAGTTGGCTGTTGGGGGGTTTTTGTGTTTGTTTGTTTGTTTCTGTAAGACAGAACTCTCATCTCGTTTTCCCGAGAATCAAGGAATTCTCACCTTCCCTCCTCCATCTCGAGTTTCTGAGTTCCTGCGTCCCAAGGCCTGGACTCCAGACTCAGTGCTCGCAGACACCAGAAGGCCTAGGCTGGCTTGGGGAGGAGATGCAGGGAAGGAGGCAGCATACTTTGAGCATTTCCTATGGGCCAGGTCCTGTGTTAGAAGCTCTGAATCCTCTCAATGCCCATTTTAGAGATGACAAAGCAGAGATATGTGACATGTGGGAGGCCCAGCGGAGCCTGGAGCCCTTGTCTGCCTGGCTGCACTTCCTTGTCCCAGCCTTGCTTCTGCCGAAGCAGCTGTGCCAGCTGGGGCAAATGACTGCCTCCCCCTGGGCCTTGGGCCCTGCAGCTAGACAGTGGGCACAAGGTTCTTCAGGATCGGCTCTCATGGTAATGAGCTCTCTGCATCAAAACCATTTGTCAAGAACAAAGGAGCACGTGACAGGAGTGGAGAGTATCCATTTTCACTGTTGTTCTGTCGAGAGGCAGGTTCATTTCTAGGATTCACACGGGAAGGCATCAATTACTATCACTCTGAGCACTTAGTAATGAGCACCCAGTTGGCCACCAGGGAGTTCAGCAAAGAAGTCTGAAGGAAGTGGAACCATGAGGGGAAGGGGGGTATCCACAGGAGTCTCTGTGCTGCAGGGCCTGGCCGAGACCTTTCCAGAGCTCTGGGTCCCTGCCGCGTCCTGACAGGCTTGGTAAAGGCTACCTGGATTTCGTGGTTTATGAGGTCTTGCCAAAGGTCTCTGGGAAAAAAAGGAGAAACAAGAATCATAAAATGACCACTGAGACCCCAGTCGTGGGTGTTCAGAGCCCCACCCTGTTGACGGGGAACTCCTTTCACTTCCTTCATGTTCCTGGGCCCCCCACAGCCCAGCCACAGGCACACACCACCTCGTTGAACTTTAGGGAATCGAGGCTGGGAAAGGTGAAGTGTCTTTTCCAGGGCCATGCCATTGCTGACTCATCTGCAGGTGTGGCTTCAAGCACAGTGGCCTCCTAGGAGACAGAGCTAGCCCAGCTTCCACCTCTACCGAGGACGTGACCTTGGGAAGCTGGGAGGCCATGGGGCAAGGAGCTCTGTGACTCTAGGGTATTATACAGCTCCAGGGTAGGGACCCTGGTCTCCTACACACTTTCCTTTTCTCACTTGCTGCCCACAGGTGCCGGGAGCAGGGTGGAGCCAGGTCACTGCCATTACGCAGAGAAGGAAGACAGGCTCCAAGGGACAGCCAGGGTCTCACAGCAACCTAGCTGGCAGAGGATGGTTTTAAACCTGTTGGGAGGGAGCAGACAGGAGAGGGGGGCCACTTTGTGGAGGGTCTCTGTGACGTCTGACGCAAGGCACTTCCGTGGGTACTGCTGTTTGAGTCGGTGGCTACACCCAGACATGGTTGCAGGGAGGGCCTCTGTCCCCTCCCCAGATCTCTGCCAGCCTCCTAAAAATCCCCAAATAGAAAGATAAATCACTTCTGCAGAAATGGGAAGTACATAAAGTGGGGATTAAAAGTCTTTAGGAAACTTAGCTTCAAAAAAATAAAAATCAGGTTATAACAAACAGTGCAAGCAAAACATTTGGTAACTGCTTTGTACATGCAGCTCCGAGACAAGGTCGCATCCAGCCTGTCCCGAGCCCCTCCTGCAGAGATTCTGTGTGTGTGTCTGTGTCTGTCTGTGACCTCATCTCCAGACAAGTGGGGGGGGTGTGTGGTGTTCCATACCCATGATGAGTGTGTGCACCCCGCGAGCTCAAGTGCGGGACTGCAGTGCAGCAATTCTCCCCTACCTGCCTGGAGGTCTGGGAGGCTCCCACAGCAGGTGGTGCCCACTGCGACTAATCTCTGCTCTCCTCCCTCCTGCTGAGCCAAGAAGATGAAAACATTTCTGGCACTTTCTAAAGTTTCTGTCCAGGAGTGGAAAAGCCATCAGCCGAGGGGTCGCAGGATGACAAGGCTGCCAGATCTGCAGGTTCCCAGTTCCGAGACAGGATGTGCAGGGGAGGGCTGGGAGCTAGGCTTTTCAGTAGTGCCTGCAAGGACAGACTGGGTCAGGAAACTTGGTGGAAGGCGGCTGGTGCATAGGAGACTCAAGAGGTCACATTCCCTGGGTGCTGACCTCTGATGGACGGATATGCTGGCGGCTCGTGGTCTGGGATCTCCTGAGTCTTACAAGGGCAGGGCAAGCTCCATCAACTGACAAACAAGAAATGTCAGTAGTTACAAGTGCTGTGGAGGCCACCACGCTGGGAAATGGGCTGGAGGGTGACTGCAGGGCCCATCTAGAATGTGTGCCCTGTGCCACCTCCTGACTGAAGCAGCATTTGACTGAGACCAGGAGGATTGAAGGGGCAGGGCATTCCAGGTACAGGGAACAAGAGCAAGCAGTGGAGGTGGGAAGAGCATGGCGTGCTTTAGGGACAATGAGGTGGCCCGTGAGCAGGTGGTGGGCCCTGGAAGCTGGCAGGAGAGGCCGAGCCAAGGGGCAGGCACTGGCTGGACAGCGTGGAGCCTTAGAGGCTGCAGGAAAGGCTCCTCAGTCTCAGGGGGATGAGACAGCCCAGAAGCGTTGACAGCAGCAACCTTTCCTGTCAATCATGTTTGTGGTTTTTGTTGTTGTTTTGAGACAGAATCTTGCCTGTCACCCAGGCTGGAGTGCGTGGTGTGATCTCGGCTCACTGGAAACTCTGCCTCCCAGGTTCAAGTGATTCTCCTGCCTCAGCCTCCTGAGTAGCTGGAATTACAGTCATACACGACCACGGCCAGCTAATTTTTGTATTTTTAATAAAGATGGGATTTCTCTATGTTGGCCAGGCTGGTGTCCAACTCTTGAACTCAAATGATCCGCCTACCCCAGCCTCCCAAAGTGCTGGGATTACAGGCGTGAGCCACCGTGCCTAGCCCATGTTTGTGTTTAATATCATTCTGGCTGTCAGGTGGAGATGGATGGAGGGAGCCCTGTGGTGGGCCATGTGAGGGGCGTGGTGGCGTGGGTCAGGGTGGAGGCCGGGAGGTGGAAAAGCCAGCCAGAGGAGGGGTGTGTGACGGAGTCCAGGCTGGGGAGCATGGGTGTGCAGGATCTGAGCCTGAGGCCTGGGCGGGGGCCTTCCCAGAGGCTCTGGAGGCTCCAGACTTTCTAGTGGATGTGGGTAGGTGTGGAGATGCCAGGAGCCCGGGTCTGTGCTGGTCTGTCTTAGGATGTTGGAAAACCAGGTTTCAAGGGTTGCTGGAGCTTTGCAGTCTGTGGTGCTGCGAAGCCCCAGAAAGAAGCATTGAGCAAGCAGCGAGAGCTTCAGGAGCCTGGAGCCCAGCGGGGTTGGAGCCCAAGGCATGTGCTAGGTGTCCTCAGTGTCTGGGTAGTGAGGGAGGCCCCAGGAAGGGGAGAAGGAGCTGGTACAAGAGGAAGAAAGAGTTCCTAGGAAAAGGAGGGCAGAAAGGCACGCTGCTGAGCAGTCAAGTTGAGAACTAAAACTGCCCCCAGATCTGGTGACATGGATGGAGGTCACTGGAGACCTTTCCAAGAGTCCTCTGGGCCCAAGGGGGTGGAAGTCAGACTGCAGGGGTGGGGAGGGAGTGGGAGGTGAGGAAGTGAAGTCAGTGTCAGCCGCTGGCTTCTGAGAAGCTGAGCTCTGAGTGGAGGTGAGCAGTGGGATGGGTGCTGGTGGGGAGGCAAGGCCAGAGGAGGGCTTGCTCCTCAGGACACCAAGGAGGAGAGGCCCTCCATGTAAGGGAAGGGAGAAGAGGGCCACAGGGGAGCTGAGGACAGAGTCCAGCAGAAGAGCCAAGGGGCCCAGACAGGAGCGAGATCTGCCCAAGGCTACACTGCAGTCAGGGCCAGGCCAGAGCCCCATGTCCACACCACACTGCCCCATAAGTCATCCATGACTCTGCAAAGGAGGAGGGCCCCAGCCACATGAAGGCCTTTCACCAGCACAAGCTGGTTCTGCCCCTGAGAGGCTGGCATGTCCCTGTGAAAAGGGTGTGTGTCTGCACCCTGGGAGGCTCGCCATCCCATGCTGGCATCTGCCCACATACTCACTCTCCTTTCCGCCCTCCCTTGCTGGGAGCCCCTCTGGACCCTGACATGTATGTGGCAAGGGGGGACTCAGATGAGGGGGAGCAACTCCTGCCCTGAGCCCCAGGCTCCCTGGAGCTCCAAGGCCTTGGCTTCCAACAGCAGGAGGGGAAAGGCAATGGCTGCTGTGACCTGTACTGTCCATGTTGGTCCTGCCTGCTTGGGGGATGCTCAGCTTGGGCTGCTCCAACTCTGGTCCCTTCCCAGGAAGCCCATATTGCCTGTCTTTGAGGGATGGGAAGGGGTGGTCTTGGGCAGGGTGCCATCCTGGAAGAACTGGCAGAGCGAGTCGGAAGTTTTGATGAAGGGTGCATTCTGGGCAGGGAGACGGCACTGATGTGGGGGTGCTGGATCACCCCAGGTGGGTCCCTGGCTTTTCAGGCTCCGCACTGGTCCAATTAGCCAGTCAGTCTCTGTGGTCCCTGGGACCTTCTTGGCAATTAGCTACAGCTGTTCACCTTGCCCTGTGGCCCTCTGCAGACTGCCTGCTCAAGGAGGGGCAGAAGGGAGTAAGGAAGCACTTCGAAGTAAAATGTTATTAACGTTTCTCCCTTCCCCAGCCCCATGTTGCCCTCAGTGAGAAACAGGGGTTCCAGGGGACAGAGGACAGAGGGAAGAGACAAACCACCAGGCAGGCACAAGCTCTCTGAGAATCTGCTTCACATGGCCCCCAAGATGTGGGTGCTCTTTTTATCTGAAAGTACCTCATCTGCGGAACGAGTCTCACTCTGTTGCCAGGCTGGAGTGCAGTGGCATGATCTCCACTTATTGCAACCTCAGCCTCCTGGGTTCAAGCGATTCTCCTACCTCAGCCTCCCGAGTAGCTTGGATTACAGGCATCTGCCACCATGCCCAGCCAATTTTTGTATGTTTAGTAGAGATGGGGTTTCATCATGTTGGCCAGGCTGGTCTCAATCTCCTGACCTTGGGTGATCCACCTGCCTTGGCCTCCCAAAGTGCTAGGATTACAGGTGTGAGTCACTGCACCCGACCTACTGTGGTATGGTTATAAAGTGCTTTGAACAATATGGGAAGGTGCTCAGGACAGTGAGCTGAGGGCGCAGGTTGGGATGAGAAGTGATCTGGGCTGTGTGACCTCAGGCACCCCAAGCACCTGAGAAGCAGGCATGCAGGAGCCCTGCTGAAGCGATAACAGCAGCTGCCTCCCGGGATTAGAAAGATGAGATTATTGAATATCAAAGAATTCTGTATTTTCCAAGTTTTCCACACTAGGTGGGAAATACTTATATAATCAGAAGAATAGCAAATATCAAATGCAAAACAAAAGCGTCCAAGCTTTTTCGGAAATCTCTCTTTCTCACCCAGGTTTGATGTCCAGAGGTGCAGGGAGGGGCCTGGGCCTGGGAAAGCCTGCCTTCCCCACCAGCCAGGAGGTCTCTTCCATGCCCTTCCCTTGGAAAGAGGCGGAAGGGAATGGGAAGGTCCTTCCCCATGCAAACCTCCTCAAGCAGAAGAGCAAAGACACAATGTGTGATTCCAATAGCTCCGTGGAGAGCAGCCTAGAGACTGGATGTTCAATCCTGACTGTGCTGCCTCCTGGCTGTGTGACTTTGGCCAACTCACTTGACCTTTCTGTGCCTCCATTTCCTCAGTACCTCACAAAGTCATAAAAATTAATAAGTTAATATTTCTCTGTTGAATAAATAACAGCTGGGTGTGTGTATAGGCTCCCGCCTACAGCCCTAACATTTTGGGAGGCCAAGGTGGGTGGATCACTTGAGGTCAGGAGTTCAAGACCAGGCTGGCTAACATGGAGAAACCCCATTCTACTAAAAATACAAAAATTAGCCAGGCATGGTGGCACATGCCTATAATCCCAGCTACGTGGGAGGCTGAGGCAGGAGAATCGCTTGAACCTGGGAGGTGGAGGTTGTAGTGAGCCAAGATCACACCACAGCTCTCCAGCCTGGGCGACAAAGTGAGATTCTGTCTCAAAAAAAGAAAAGAAAAGAATAATGAGCTCTGTGCTCAACAGAGCTAGAGTGCTAAGATCGCAGGATTTTACCATCTATGGTTCTCTCCAACCTTCACAATGGAAGGACCTGGTGTGGTGGCTTCCCCTGGGGGTCAGGAGTGAGGGGACCTGAGGGGCATGAAGATCAGGGCTGGCTGGGCTGGAGGTTCCATGCCCCATCCTGGGCCAGGGCTCTATGAGATGGATATTGCCCTTGGAGCCCCCGGGCCCACCTGAAGAGCCTGAGGTTGGCATGCTGCCCTCCCCACACCTCACCGCCCTCCCCACACCTCGCCGCTGTCCCCACACCTCGCCGCTGTCCCCACACCTCGCCGCTCTCCCCACACCTCGCCGCTGTCCCCACACTTCTCTGCCCTCCCCACACCTCTCTGTGCCCCTTTCTGGCATGCGTCCTCTATTCCTCAGGATGCCCAGTGCTCACCCTGCTAAATAAGACACACCTGCCCTGACTTATTCTAGCTCATTCTCCTCTAACCCCAGCCATCCAGAGCAAAGGATTCCATGTTTGCTGGCTTTCACAGGGTATGTGACCATGAACAAGTTGCTGCCCCTCTCTGTGCTGCACCCTTCTGCACTGACATTCCACAGTGTAATTAAGTGAGTCCCATACGGCACTCAATTTCCGGGACCCAGTGCATCAGGCCTTTAAACTAGATTGCTCCAGCTGAGGAATTTGAGGAGTAAGAGGAGGTGGGGTAGGAAGAAAAGTCACTGGTAGGAATGCTGTACCATTGACTTTATAGAAGGTTAACATTCAGAGGGAATGCACAGGTTGAAGCCTTTCTCTGCCTTTAAAGTACTCAGCCACTAAGGTTCAGTATAGGCGTTGACTTAATGGCTGAAATACTACGCTTTGTTGTTTAGACGTGTGAAGTACCGGAATAATGGCTAGAATAAGAATGGAAAATATAAGGGCCAGGACACCTCCTAGTTTATTAGGGATGGATTGTAAGATCGCACATGCAAATAAAAAGTGTCACTCTGGCTGAATGTGGGACAGAGTATTGAGGGGATTGGCTAAAGTGTAATTGTCTGGGTTGCCCAGGAGGTCAGGCAAAGAAATACTAGAGTTGTTAAAAGGAGGAGTAGGAAAACTAAACCTAGACTATCTTTGGTTGCATAGTAGGGGTGGAAAGTAATTTTGCCTGGATCTGATGAAATTCCTGAGGGGTAATTAGATCTGTTTCATGTAAGAATAAAAGGTGAACAGCTGCTAGAGTGGCAATGATGAAGTGGAGGGCGAAAACTTGTGCATGAGTGGCTTTGTCAACTGAGAATCTGCCTGAGATTCATTGTACGAGGTCAGTTCCGACATATGGGATGGTTGATAGTAAATCGTAATTACTGTAGCTCCTCAAAATGATATTTGGCCTCATGGGAGCACGTAGCCTATGGATGCTGTTGCTACAGTTATGAGTAGGGGGATAATGCCAATATTTCAGGGTTCTAATAATAAAAATGATCCACAGTACAGATCTTGACCAACGTGTAGCAAGAGGCAGATGAAAAATATTGAAGTGCCATTAGCACAAAAATAGCGGACTGTTCATTCATAATTTATATCTCAGCTGATGTGAGTGGCTGAAGAGAAGGCAGTTGAGGTGTCTGATGAATAGTGCATCGTCAAAAATAATCCTGTGATGATCTGAAGAATTAGTCAGGCCAAGCAGTGAGCCAAACATTTTCATAGAAATGTTAGATGGCTCAGGACAACAACAAATAGTTAATAATTTTTATTAGCAGGTGTGTTTTGCGGTTATTGCTCATTAGTGTTCTTATAGCTGAAGTACAATGATGATTTTTCATACCATTAGTCATGGTTATAGTTCATGTCGGAGTAATGGCTATGCTTTATTTTTATTAAGTGTTCTTTTGTTTATGGGATTTGTAGGTTGTTCTTTGAAACTTTCTCCTATTTATGGGGGCCTAGGGCTAATCATCAGTGGTGCTGTGGGTTCTGGTATTGTGTTGAATTTTGGTCGGGCTTTCATAGGGTTAATGGTCTTTTCGATTTGCTTGGGTGGCATGATTGTTTTTGGTTATACTGTGGCGATGTCTATTGAGGAGTATCCTGAGGCATGAGGGTCAAGTACTGACATTTGGGGGCTTTATTATTGGGGTTGTGAATAGAGTGGTGTTGGTGAATAGTTGAGTATGATGGAGTGGTGGAAACGGTTGATTTTAACAGCATAGAGAGTTGAACAACTTTTGAGGGTGAGGGGGCGGGGTTGCTGCGTGAGGATTCTGTGAGTGTAGCTACCTTGTATAGTTATTGGTGTTGATTAGCGGTGCTTGCTGCTTGATCTTTCTCTGTCAGTATTTATGTTGCAATTGAAATTACTCAGGGTAATAGATGAGATGATTAAGAGTAAGGTTGGGAGAGATGGAATTAGGCCTTTTTGAGTTGATATGGTAATGGAGGCTGAAATTTGGGTTTGTGAAGTGGACTTTGGTATGGACTTTTCTAGTCAAATTAGGTCTAGTAGAAGGGAAGCTAGATTTTGGCTTGTGACGAGGCTTGAGTGAGGGGTAATGTGGTGAACTGTGGTTAATGATAACCTACTATGTTGGAGAAGTTGACTGTCTGTCATGGGAGTTGTAGCTCAAGGTTATCAGTTACGAGATTAAGCTCCATTGCTAGTAGCGGGCCTGAAGTAGTCACTCCTGTAGCTGTGAGCTTGACGTGGAGTGGTCACACGTCAAGGATAAGGAACTGGTGTTAGTGATAAGGAATCCGGGGAAGATACTGCCAATTGTTAGATACTTAATTGAGTTAATTAGGAGGGCGTTATTTTCGTTAATAATGATTAGAGTTGTGAAGCGAGGTTGTCCTATTAGAGCGAAGAAAATAATTCGAGTCCTCTAGAGGGCTGTCAAGGAGGTGGCAGTAACAGTAACAGGGCTCAGGCATTGGTATACGATGTGTAAGCGGTTTTGATAATAATAAAATCTTTGGAGTAAAAACTTCGAGGAAGTAAAAACACAGCCTGTAAGTGCAAGGCTGCCGATAATAAGGCAGGAGGAAGTGAGGGGTCATTTTTTGGATATCTTGCTCATCATTGAGGCTGTGGATATCCCATTTTTTGGATATCCCATTTTGTGGATATCTTGCTCATCATTGAGGCTGTGGATGATGGATCCTGGACATATAAATAATATAGCTTTAAAAAAGGCATGGGTGCAGATGTGAAGGAATGTTAGGTGTGGTTGGTTAATGCCAATTGTGACTATTATAAGGCTCAGCTGGCTTGAGGTGGAGAATGCTATGATTTATTTTACATCATTTGTAATGGGCACAGACTGCTGTAAATAAGGTGGTAATAGCCCCTAGACATAGTGTGAAGGTTTGGAAGGATAGATTATTTTCTATTAAGGAGTAGAAGCGGATGAGTAGTAAGATTCCTGTTACAACTATAGTGCTGGAGTGGGAGGGCTGAGACTGGGGCAGGACCTTCTATGGTGGCTGGAAGTCAGGGACGGAGGCTGAATTGAGCTGCCTTTCCTGCTGCTGCTAAGAGAAGGCTAATTAATGGATGGGAGTTGGGGTGGGGAATAAATGTTTGTTGAAACCCTCATGTGTTGCAGGATAAGAGGAATCATGCTGTAGCTAAAATAAAGCCAATGTCGCCCATGAGGTTGCACAAGACTGCTTGGAGGGCTGCTGTGTTAGCATCTGCTTGGCTGTACCATCAACTGATTAGGAAAAAAGACATCAGCCCTATGTTTTCTCATCTGATAAAGAGTTGAAAGAGATTGTTGGCGGTGACTAGAATTAACACTGTGGTGCGAAAAATAGGTATTTTAAGAATTGATTAATGTTAGGGTTTGAATTTATATACCATGTTGAGAATTCTACAATAGATCTGGTAATGAACAGTGCTACTGGGTTCTACATTGTGGAGAAGTGTCCAGTTTGAAGCTTAGTGAGAGTTTAGAGTTTGGATTGTCATTCAATGTCAGTTGGTGATAGTAAGTTATTGGTCTGCACATATAAACATTGTTGCAGGGATGAGGCTAGTGAGGAAGGGGCATGCAATAGGTATTTTTACATAATTTGGGTATGAGCCTTTTTTACAGGGTTAATTAAGGTAGTAATAATTGGTAAAATTAAAGGGATCGGGGCTATTGTGGTAGTGGAAAAATGCATGATTATTACTTTTATTTGGCATTGCACAATGTTTTTGGTTCTTAAGACCAACAGATGACTCTATTCCTTTAAAAGTTGAGAAAGCTATATTGTTAGGCATGGGGGCATGAGTTAGCAGTTCTTGCATACTTTCTCAGTAGATAAGAAGTTGCAGGCTTCTGTTATTAGATTCACAATCTAATGTTTTGGTTAAGCTATAGCTACACCATGTAAGCTCCACAGTGATTTTAGGGTTAAAGGCCAGTAGGAAGATGAGTGCAAGATGTATAAGTATCGATACATTTTTTCATGCTGTTAATGTGACATGTGAAGTCCCTCGTTGTGTTGTGATTAGCGCACATAGGGAGTAAAGTTCTGTAATATGTGTATTAAGTCCTATAAGCATAATAGTGATGTTTGATCAGGAGAACGAGGCCACAGTCACAAACAGTTCTCCTACTAGATTAATGGTATCGGGTAAGGCAAGGTTAGTGAGATTTGCTAGGAGTCATCAAGAAGCTATTAGTGAAAGCAGTGTCTGAAGGCCTTGGGTAAGTGATATACTTTGGCTGTGGACTTGTTCGTAGTGGAAATTTGCTAGGCAGAATAGTAAGGATGAAGTGAGTTCACGGGCAATTGTAAGGGTTATTGCACCTGTAAAGCTTCAAGGGGTTTGAGTAAGGATAGCCACAGCAACACGTACTTACAGAGGAGTGGGTGGCTCACAGTATGCAGCTTACAGAAGAGTGGCTTACAAAGGGGTAGGCAATACATGATTTTAGGTCGGTTTGTCATAGACAAATAGAGTTTATCATAACTATCCCTCATAGTGGTAGCATGAGGAAGGGATGGGCTATATATTCTGTTGGGGGCTAAGGATGGGGTAAGTCAAATTATACCATAGCCACCTAGCTTTAGGAGTAGCACTGCAAGTACTATTGAGCTGGCAACGGGAGCTTCTGTGTGGGCTTTGGGGAGTCATAGGTGAAGTCCATATAGAGGCATTTTTACTATAAAAGCCATGATACATGCTAGTCACATAAGAATGTTGAATCAGGAGGTTGATAATTCCTCATTAACAACCCAACATCACACTGTAACAGCAGAGAACTGGTGTGGGACTGGTGGGTACACAGAGAAAGCATGACAGTCATTGTTTGTGGGGAAGGAGGAGCAGAAGTGTTCCTGGGTCAGGGTGGGCTGCAGTGAGAGGTGATGTCTGAGCTGGGGTTCTGAGGGATAGGTAGGAGCCCAACAATGCTTTGGAGAAGGCACAAGCTTCGGAGCCATGAGATCTGGATTATGAGCTATGTGACTGACAAGCCACTCTGCCTCTTTGATTGAATTTCTTCAACTGTAAAATGGCGACAATGATGCTCCTTTCATTATTGCTGAGTGATAAATATTTTGATGTGTGTTGTACACTGGCATGCTACATAGATAGGTCACCAGGTGAACTGACTTCTCTGTCCTGGCCTTTCCTCTCACAAGGAGCTGGATGGCTCCCAGGAAGAAATGTTTCCTTGGAATTTGAGGAGCATAGAGAAAGTGTAAAGGTGACCAGCTACATCCCCAACTCTAGGCAGCCACGTCAGTCAGATGAGAATCTTTCCCACTTCCCACAGAAACTGGACCCTTAGGGACTTTTCCCACAAAGGCCACAGAATTCTCTCACCTTCAGCTCCGTCTGACCTCTGATGTCAATTTGGTAGCCTTCTCAGGACTGAGCAGTATCTGGAGAGTGCTTTGGCTGACATGAATGCTGTATGCTGAGAAGAAAGGCAGTCATCAAGTCAGCACCTGGTGACAGCATACCTAGTATTTGGTAAAATCATTAAGAGCCTGTCATGACTGCAGTTCCAATCAATCATACACATAGTCGTGATTTATGTAACACCCTTATTCCAGCCTTCTTGTCCCTCTAAATTGTTGGTCACTAAAAGAGACCCAGAGGAAAAGCAAATTACATAGATTGAGTGCTAAAGGGAACTCACAGTGGAGTCAGACCCCTAGGAATATAATTTCTATTTGTAAGGAAGCCTGTGAAGGCTTAGTCAGAGAAGACATGCAGTTTGTAGTTTTAAGAGTCGGATTTCTCAACAGAGCCACAGCACCCAGTTATGCGGGATGTGCCCTGAACATTAGAGCAACAACCTACACAGCCAGAGGCAGAAGACCTGGGCCTTCAACATACATTTTAGCTGCTCTGACCAAGCCATCATGGTAGCTCCTGCTGTCAGCAAAGGCCAAAAACGCTGGGGATGTCTTCACGGTGGTGTCAGGGCTGTCCCAGCACAAAAGGAGGTGGCACATAACCAATTTAAAAAAACACTTTAAAGGATATCCTCTTTGTACAATGGGGAAACTAAGGCCTACAGGAAGAACATTTTGCCCAAGGACACTAAGCAAGCCAGTTGCAGAGTCAGGGCCAGGACCCAGATTTCCTGCCTCTTGAGTCATTGTTTTCCCTGCTAACATCCTCATGAGATCACAAACATGATGTGGAAAGTTAAAAGAGCCAATGACACGTATCATCTCCTTCTATTAGGTTGGTGCAAAAGTAACTGAGCTTTCGTCATTACTTTTAACGCCAAAACGACAATTACTTTTGCACCCATGTAGTAGTTGCTTTCCTAAAAACTAGGGTACGCTGCCACCAGGTGGTGATTTGTTTACTAAGAAACATTTTGTTTTATTATTTATTAATTGAGATGGAGTCTCACTCTGTCACCAGGCTAGAGTGTAGTGGCGCAATCTCGGCTTACTGCAACCTCAGCCTCCTGGGTTCAAGAAATTCTCATAAACTATTTTAAACAGCCAGGCTATACAGGTTATTGAAAGAGCCCCTCCCTGGGAAGGACAGAAGTATGAGATACTCATGCAACCCTGTGGACTCCATCCAGGAAGCCGTGGTGTCCCCAAAGAGGCAATACTGAGGCGTCGTGAGACCCATGACCCCTGCTGCACAGGTCCCTGAAACGCAAATGAATTCAGTGAGCAGGTCTTGCACCAGAGAGATTCCAATGACAGCCTCACCCTTCTTTACCTCCTGCCATTCCCTATTGCACGTCCTGGGCTCCAGTTGCAGGCTGAGGATAAAGCCAACTGGAGTCTCCAATGACATCCAAAGAGGAGCCAATGCTTGCGCCAGGCTCTGTGCTGGATAGATAGATGTGTGTGTTCATAGATAGATCAGAGCCAGTCCCTGCTCTTGGGCAGCTCCCGGCCCAGTGGGGACAGATGTGTAACCTGCGACAAGGCTGTGATGAAAGAAGCACCAGGACCACCACCAAGAAGGGCCTCTAACCCAGGCAGGGACTTGCTGGAGGATACATGCGCTCTGTCTTGAAGGATAAGAGAATGAGTGGGCAGGGAAAAGCAGTTGCAGAGGCAAAGAGGCAGGGAACCCATGTGTGTGTGTGTGTGAAACTGCAAAGAGCTGAGTGTGGATGCAGGGCCATGCAGGGAATGCTGGGAGACGAGGTTGGAAGGCAATGGCGGTGGCGGGGTGGTGGTGGCAGTGCTAATGGACTTTATCTTGCAGGGCAAGGGAACCATGGCGGAAGGAGCAGGGGAGTGGGAAGGGATGTTCTTGACTCTGAGAGCTCCTCAGATCCATCCCAGCAAACATTTGGTTGTTTACATGACCATGAAGGTTTCTGTCCTGCCTCTTCCATCAGACTATCAGCATCACACATTCTCTTTTCTTTTTTTAAGACAGTCTTACTCTATTAGCCAGGTTGGAGTGTAATGGTGCCTCCCAGGTTCAAGTGATTCTCATGCCTCAGTCTCCCAAGTAGCTGTGCCACCACACCTGGCTGATTTTTGTATTTTTAGTAGAGATGGGGTTTCTTCATGTTGGCCAGTCTTGAACTCCTGACCTCAAGTGATCCCCCAACCTGGGCCTCCCAAAGTGCTGGGACTACAGGCATGAGCCACCATGCCCAGACAGACTCTCTTACTTAGAACATATTAAGACCTTAAAATAACGTAAGGGAAAAGAAACATAAAATATCCTCACCATAGAGTTTTAGAATCTCTGACATCCAGAAGCATGCCACTAGAGGTGATCCAGCCAGCGCCCAGGGAAGATTGGGAGATGGATGTGGCCCCTCACCCTCAAGGCTCCCAGCCCATACCTGAATGCAGGCCAGCTCTGATGTGAACCGGAACGTTGGGCACATGCCTCATCCAGAAGTGCCCACAGAGCTGAGGTGGCGATCTCAGCCACATGCCAACTTCCATTGCACCAAGGCAGCCCCGACACCACCATGTAGGCATCCCAATGGTCTCCACCTAGAAACTGCAGCCTTCACACTCCAGCACAAGAACACACCCTCCCTGGCCCACTGCACATCCTGCTACACGTGGCTGCTTCTCAGGAGTTGCAACCCACCCCGTGGGTCTCTGGCCCGCAGTACCATCTTTGCCAGGCCTCCAGTTTCAGGCACTTTAGCAATTGAATTGATTGGATCTGTACATTTCAGATCACCTTTGTGTGTATTGCAGGTGACAATGGCTTTTTTTTTTTCTTTGTCTCTGGCCCCAGGCGATGAGCTCCTTGGTGGCAGAGCGGGGTACCCCAACTGCTCAAGGCCATAGTGGCAGATCAGGGATTAATCTGCAGAGGACTGTATCTATTTCAAGGACACCTCCCACTTTCCAATCCCTACTGGCCTTCCAAAGGGGTACCAGAAAGAATGTAGGTTTTGGAATGAGACAGATGTAGGTTCAAGCCCTGGTTCTGCCATTTACCTTGGGAGACGACTTCACCTGGGTGAGCCTCCGTTTCCTCTTACATGGAATGATTGTTAGAGGTGAAGTACTTACAGAAGCAAGCATACCAGTGCTGAATACACAGAGGCTGCGGCCGTCCTCATCATCATGGTTTTGGACTCTCCTAACTGGAAGGGGCTTTGCTGGTCACCCAATCTCCCCCACCCTAGCGGCTGTTCTTGCCTGCTCTCTCGTGATAGGAAAGTGTCTCCTTCTGTAACCACTTCTCTCTTTAGGCAACTCCGATTTCCTTTCCTCCCTCCCTCCCTCCCTCCCTCCCTCCCTCCCTCCCTCCCTCCCTTCCTTCCTTCCTTCCTTCCTTCCTTCCTTTCTCTCTTTCTTTTTCTTTTCTCGAGACCAAGGTTGCCCAGGCTGGAGTGCAGTGGCATGATCTCAGCCCACTGTAACCTCCACTTCCCAGGTTCAAGAACTTCTCATGCCTCAGCCTCCCAAGTAGCTGGGACTACTGGTGTGAGCCACCTGCCTGGCTAATTTTTGTATTTTTAGTAGAGATGGAGTTTCACCATGTTGGCCAGGCTGGTCTTGAACTCCTGACCTCAGGTGATCTGCCCACCTTGGCCTTTCAAAGTGCTGGGATTACAGGTGCGAGCCACCATGCCAGGCTGCAATTCGGATTTTCAAAAGTTGAGTTGAAACCTGCCTTTCACCAGCTGGTTCCAGCTCCACCTCCTGACCTGGACCCATATACCTTTCCTAAGCACCTTCCTCTGTTCCTAAGGCCTTTCCAGGTGCTGGGAACACAGATGTGAATGAAGCATGGCCTTCTCCCCTGCCACAGGCCAAGCCTGCCAAGGTGAAGACAGCGACTCTTCCCTGAGTCTTTTCCAGCTCCTGTACTGCTCCTCCTACAGCAGGCACGTGTTGGCCCCACTGGTCCTGGGCAGCAGAGCCTCCCCTGCCAGGCGCTGCTGCACTTAGCACCTGGTGCACAAGAATAGTGATGCTCCCCCCATAGGGGGCGCTGTAATTAAAAAAAAAATCTCTCAGGCAACCTGAAAGTGTGGGCTGTGCCCCACTACCTATGCCTCCACGACCGTGCCATCTCTCCCTCACCCCAGCTGTCCTCCACCTTACCACCAAAAAGTGATCTGCCCTAATCACATCACATTCCACTCTGATACACACTTCAATTTGCTCCCTATGGCCAATGGCCTAAAATTCAGGCCTAGCTGTCAAGGGCCTCCATCAGCTGCAGGATTTCCTGGCGTTTCCAACAGCTGCTCCTGGTTCCCCATGCATCAGCCAGACAGAAACCCTTTCCACCGTTTCAAGAGACACTCAGTGCTTGCTCACCTCGAGGCCTGGAGTGCCAGGTCCCTCTACCTGAAAAGCTCTCCCCAGTCTCCGTCTGCTGAAATCCCACCCTCCATCAGTCTCGCTCACACGTGATCTAGTGCGCAGAACCTTCCCAGTCCCCAGCGGCGAGAAAGATGTTTCCCTCCTCCGGGCTATGGCCTGCTCTCCCGCCCCACGGCCTGCCTGCTGCTGTCCACCCAGCATTCATGGGCTGGTGGTAAGAGTGGCGGGGTTGGCGGCAGGGCTGTCCCAAGCTGAGCACCTCTCCACAAAAGAGATCTTCCACGCCATGCCCCAGGAGGGAAAAACATGAGAGACCCCTGGCTTTCCCTGCTGTCTTCTTCCTTGCCAGAGGAAGAGGAATGCCTTACTTGATTGGTGGGACTGGAAAAAGGACAAAGTGCCTCTTAAGTACTCGTATAGTGCTTACTATGTGCTGGACACAATCCCAAACCCTTTACAAATAGGAACTCATTAGACTTTCACAAGAATTCTGGGATGTGGGCACTATTACTAAGACCATTGTACAGGTGAAAACTGGGTCAGAGGCATTAAGTCACTTGCCAAGGTCACTTGCAGGTAGTTCGTGGGTTTGAACTAGGTCAGTCCAGCTCCAGAGTCTGCACACTACGCTGCCTCTCAATGTACACGGCCTAGGCCCTTTCTCTTTCTCTCT